CTCGCGCTCAGCAGTCGCGCACGCAGCTGTGGTCGCCAGCGAATGCGACGCAGTTGTGACGCGACCCATACTCTCGTCAAGCTTCAGACTGTTCGCCGCTTGGGGCGGGTCGGGGATCTGCGAACCAAACTTCTTGCGCAGGCCTTGTCTTCTGGGTGGTATTGGCTTAGGACGCGTGTTACGTGCACCCATGACAGTCTTACACCAGGAAGACGAAGCCTGCGCGTGACGTCACCGTTAGTGGATCACCGACCCGCCCCAAGCGGCGAACATGCTGAAGCTCGATAAGAATCTCCACAAAGCGGCAGACGGACTTAACTTGGCGTCGCCGAGTGACAGCGTCGCGCTCGTTGGGAAACGCTGCGAGACGCACTGTCATCGATGCTAACGTCCGCTAGGCAACGCTGCTTGGGTCGACGATGGGCACGAAGAGTTCTTAGCTGTTGTTACAGATGAGAAGCGTCCACACACAGTGGAGAAAGCGGAACAGAAAACTTGCACCTAAATATAGAACCAATAGAAGAGAGGCGGATGAGAAAAGAGAGGTTAAGAAGAGTGTTCGAGGAACTGGGAGGAAAATATGGGAAGCAGGCGTGCAGACTAAATCGGCCTTGGACATGTACAGATCGTTTAAGAAGGACACGACTAGGAAACTATCTGCGATAATTATAATGGGAGCTCCTTGTTCGAGGCGATGACGGGAGTGTTGCGGGCCTAGAGATAGATATTAGGAAGTAGATACGGTGTGCGGAGCTCATGCAGAGGAGGACGGGACGGCTGAGCATTTGATGCTTTACTGCAACTGAAGACGCGGCTAATTTGACAAACGCATTGGGACTTAAGAAAAGCGAGGGAAACACAAACAAGGGGAACGTAAAGATAGCCAAGAAGAGTTTATCTTACAGGTGACATAGGTCGACGAAGGATGAGTAGTTTCTTATTCCCTTCCCGGGCGACCCGCAGGGCGAGCGGTGTGTGCACCCGGTTACATAGAAGTGCCTTCCTTGTACGGATCGTAGCTTTTAGAAATAAATCTCTAAATATATAACTCTATGTTAAATAAATTATAAAAACAATCACGCCGAAGACACTTAAGACCGCTTATGCTTCGGAATGCGAAAACATTAGAGTCCGGTGGTGACATCCCGCTCCCCCACTGCGCAGGCGCGGCGCCCCCGCCGGCTCCACGGCTTCCGTGACGAAGCATCTGCGTTGCTGTGCTTTCCTTTGTGCTTCATTTCCGAAGCGCGTCCGCTTTGAGCTTGAGTGGCGCGTGCTTGATGACGCATTTTTACGTATAGTTATTATAATCTCCGTCAGAGGTTCAACTGTAGCTATAGTGTGCTAATGCAGATTGAAGCAGACAGCAACCAGCCGAAAATTCACTTCCGGTAAATCATTTATTTAACAAGACCGGCGGTGATTCCTTATATTCATAACCTTTCGCACAATCTAAAAAAAGTGGCGGCTCATTTTGAAGTGCCAGTGGTGTTTTCAGCGCCGCACAAGCTGTCTCACTTGTGTTCAAAAATAAACAACAAAAAGGGAGAGGGTAAGCTGTGTCAAAAGAAACACGCTAATCAATACGTGGAGTGTGCAACGTCAGTGGTGTATAACATACCATTGAGTTGCGGGAAATCGTATGTCGGCCAAACGGGGCGTTGCATAAATGAAAGGGCCAGAGAACATGCCTGGTCAGTCAAACAGTCCCCGTCGGGCAATCTTGCGCTGCATTGCGATAGGTGCCCATGTGGCCCGGAATTGGAAAAAACAACAGTTCTGGGCAGATACAAAAACAAAACAGCGCGAGAAATACACGAGGCATTCCGCATAAGAGAGCAAGGGGTGAGTCTGTGTATTAGTGCGCCGTCACTGCACTTAACTGATAAAGAGTTTTTCTTTTTAAGCCAACACCCTGACAGACGGTATTAATAGTCAATGTTGTTTTCAATAAACCTTCAGTTGTGAGTGCGCTTCGTCGCTGTCCCCTTCTTCGTCCTTGTTCATTCGGCGCTTTCCATTCAATGATGTACCAACTAGCCCATTTATCTATTTTACTACATTTATATGGGGAAAATTGGGTGCATTTTCTTTCTGCGCTCGATCATAAGAGCAAATATCCCGAATAATTCGTACATACAAGGTAGCTTGGAACATTTCTCTCAGGCAGACGAAATAATTGGTCAGTTACGGCGTTTTTCTTTCAAATTCGTTGCATCAAAACGGTGCCAAAACGGCTCCCTCCGTACGTGTATTTATGTGCACTGTCGGACGCTTTTCGCGCAAACACGACGTCGGCGCTTAGTTTTCAGCATGAGGGATATACGTGCCAAACGAACGAAGGACACCTGGAAAACAAGGGAGACGGCAAGAAGTACGCAGCAACACTGGATCAGTAATTACCCGTGCATGCACGGTCAAAATAAATTGAAAGCCACGCCTATCTGCCTAGCCTTGCGAGCCATCCGGAGTACCTCAAGCTTCGCTAATAAAGATTATTATTAGTAGTAGTAGTAGTAATATATTCTGATTTTAAATAAGTGAATACTGCTTTATTCTTTCTGCTCTGTCCGAAGATGTTTTTCTACATTCAAAACATCACCTGCACGCTCGATATCTTTGGAAATAAGTGCCCAATAAAAGCTGCCCGGCAGAGAAAACAATACAAAGAGCAACTTTCATGGCCCACGTGTTTTATTCCTTACGTTATGAAAGTTTTTATCTCCTCATAAAGATGACGACGGGGTCATTTTCATACAGTGACAGGACCGGCATATTAGCAATATATAAGCGTCACCGGAATGCTGGTGAACCTTGAACATACTCTAGATTCCTTTCTATTGTTATTTCGCTTTGAATCGTGGCTTCTTTTTACACACCAGCTGCGGAACACATGTTTGGGAATGAATTGTAGGGTGACAATCAATGCGCTAACTAAAGCAATTACACTTTTACAATGTAAGTCAAGGTGCATACTATTTGGTACGACCCAAATAAGCGTTTCATGTTATTTTTTGGCGAAGAGACAAGATACACGCGCGTTTTTCCATAGGAATGTACAGGAGCAACGCAAAAGTAGGCTGGTTGCTGTCTGCTTCAATTTGCGTCACAGAAGTCGCATAGACAATAGCGCCAGTTGAATCTCTAGCCTACAATATAATAACTCTATTTTTATGGCCATCTTTTCGGCACAACGCCGACGCCGCCCTCCCCGTAATGGGATACAGAAGGCTTTCGCCTTCAAACCAGGCTAGGTGACTCAACCAACCTAGCTTATTCAAATGATGCCGCCTCATCCATCCATTCATCCATCTATGTATCCAGTGATGACGCTTGAGGGGGAAAAGCCCCCTTGAGGATTTTGTGTGTTCAATTTTCCGCAGAGCACTCGGAAAGCCAATCACTGCGATCTACGGAGAGGGCTAAGCGAATGGCGAGGCGCTAAAGAATAAAGTCTGCGCTGTGATACTGAACATGACGTTTCACGTCGTCACCTCATGCTCACTGTAGCATCGCCGCACTCTGTTTCGAATAGAATAGTTCTGCGTCCTTCATAGCCTTCACAGTGCAAGGGGGGCCCGCGACACACCGGCTCTTCTTGCCGTGTTGGAGCAAGGAAGAACGCTGTTCGATTCGAACCACACCTGGCACAACACTGTACACTTTTCCAGCGCTTATCACTTGGGCGAAAAATGCTGAGTCGCTTAGTAGTGGATGCAGGCGCAGCGTCTGATAAACGGCACAGCAGAACTAAAGCACATTCTCAGAAGGCAGCGCGCAGAATGTTATTTTGGGAAAGGTTCGAGCGCGGCCGATTTTTTGAGCCGAGGTGCCAACAAACAGCGCAAAAGCGCAAAGTCATGGCGTGTTCTCTGCCGGCGGAGGATTGCGTACAGAAATACGGCGAACACCAACTGGTCCTATATCAACTGCGGGGAGGACGTAATGCAATGACGTTGTGCCATTTTCGCTGTTTGATTCAACCTTCGGCTGGTAACATTGGCCACGCTCCCAGCTAGGGTGAAACTGAGTATAGGTAGTTGGCATGCAGCTTTTAGGGGCGAAGCTCTTTAGAGTCTAGAGTTGTCCATCCGTCCGGCGTCCGTGCTCACATCGATTGCACTGCCTCCGGGATCGGCCCACTTTTAAAAAGAAAACGAACGCCCGCACGGGGTTTAAACCCAGGACCGCTTGCTTACGAGGCAGACGTCTTACCACTACGCTACACTCTAGCGTTGCATGTAGCCGCTCAGCGTCTGTACCGTAGAGGGCGCTGTGGTCAAATGTGTACTTAATCGCGTTAAACTTTGCACGCATTGGCTCAACGTTTATATACGAAAGGGCGCTGCGGTAAAATGCTCAACTGCGTATATAACCACGTTCCATACCACACATTCTCTTTCTGACATGGACCGTTGGCTTAAGTGGTGGAGATGCGTTCCCACGGCTTCTAGCGGATCCAAGCTGATCCGCTAGAAAAACCACTGGCTCTGCATTTCACCGCGACCATAAAGCAGTAATAATGAAGTCGAAACGGCAACCCGGAACTCAGCACTACCTATGAGCAATGAAACGAAAACAGCACCATCAACGCTACCTATGAACAATAAAATCAGTATCATCAGCACCACCAGAGCTTCGCCCCAATGAACATCATTCATTACGGGGAGATGCGGCCTCTTTTTAGGTTTCGCTCTCAGAGAGTGAATACGTCCTCCATTGTTAAACAAACTACAAATCAGGAGAGCTTGGAAAAGCGTTATGCTTTTTCACGCTTTATACTGCTGAAAATGGCAAAAATCAAGAGGACGACATCGGAGTCTTGAAGTCAGTTTCTCATGGAAGCAGACAGCTCTTTGTTGACACGTATAAGGCGTTGCAGTAAAACTGCCCATTCAGCAAACACGAGGGGAACATATAGATTCTCGGAGTAAATCCAAAGGGGGAAAGGGACTGTGACCTCAGGATGTGTAACTACCCTAATGCATCTCCGTTTTCAGGGACGCCGATGAAGCTCTGGCCGCTCTGAAGGAGAAAGAGGGCCAGGACACAGTGAGGGAATGGATTGCCATGAAGATACTCCACTACGGCATATTGGACATTGCAGCTGATGCCAGATTCACGAGCGACGACGTGAACAAATTATTCGAGCTTCTTAGGGTTCGACATTTCACACATTCTCGACTGGGTGGGCGAGAACGCCAATATTTTTCTCAGCACGACTGTGTTGGTGATGCACCCTTCGCGCGTCACGTACACTCAAAACAAAAAAAAAAAAAAAAAAAGAAAAGATGTATTCTTACACCTTTTGTCCTATATAAGTAGGATTGTTCGCTTTCGGGTAAAACCCGATCTTACCCGATTTTTACACGCCGAACATGTTTCAGGAGAATCGGGTTAAACCCGATTTCTCCCCGATATTCAAAACCACATAACCAACCTGTCTATTTTCACGCCGAACGGAGTTTGCGGTGCACAAGCGCTAGCTACCCCACCTCGGGACAACAGTGACCTATAGTTCATTTCGCAAGCTGCGTGCAGCACTGTGAACGCTACACGACTCTCAACCAACCGCCTAACGAGCGCGCCTAACTAACTGAGGAAAAGCGGCAATAGGCGTTGGGGCCTCGGAAAAACATCCCCCCCCCCCCCCCCCCCCCCCCCCCGTGCAGGTGGAACCACCCCGGCACGCCACGTAGTTTCGGCCCTGCTGCACGCAGCTTGTGAAATGCACTATCAATTCCCCTTCGACCGCTGTTAAATATCGACGCCCAGCAGGGTCTCTCGGGTAGCCTGGCAATCTCGCTGGCGTCCAACCTTTTTTACGAACAACGTCTGAGCCTGTCAGTCGCGTAAACAGATCGGGAAAACTTAATAGGTTTATTCCTTAGCGAAATATTTGATCGAAGACGACTGTCCCTCGAACGGTCGGCGTTTTTGTTGACACCTGAGGGAGAGGAGGATTCCGCGGGTGGTTCTTCCTTTCAAGCGACCTACGGCAATCGGAGCTGGAAAACCCTGATGTCCCTCCGATTACTAGCATAAAACAGGCCCCTAATTTTAACGCGTTAGCATTCAAAAACTCGTAATACTCTCCTACAAAAAAAAAAGAAAGAAAGAAACGATTGTATTATCGAGTACATTTGTAAATTTAACCCGAAACAAACCCGAATTTCGGAATGTGTCCACAAAAAACTTGATTTCTACCGATTATCAGCTTAAAAAATAGCACCCAATTTTTACCCCCGAATTAAAAAAATATATATATAAAACCAGAAAACGAACGACCTTACACATAAGACACTCCAAAACTTCCGTTCGGCGTATAGCGCACTGGCGTCGACATGACGGTACTAACTTTTACGAGAGGCTTGATAGCCGTGTGGTACAACATGTTAAAATAGCTAATTTACGTGTTAGTGACTACAAAAAAATAGTAAAATAATAAGTTTTTTTTTTGGCCTTGCTGCAAAAACCTTAAGTGATTTCTTTTTGTGGTCTTCGGTACATACTTTAGCTATTTAATAAGTTCTATCGCACCGTTATCAATCTCCTCGTAAGATTTGGGGCCGTCTGTTCGACTATAGGGCTCTGTGCGTCGAAGTGGAGTATTGGGGTGCATTTTATGGGACAAAAGGGCGTAAGGCCCTTTTGTTAGAGTGTAAGCTTATCCTAGAAGATGATGTTCACCTTCAGATAAGAACGGACGACGAAAATTGGTTATGCGTTTGATTTCGTCTTTTTAGGACGGTTACTTGATCTTAATCCGCGTGCTCCGAAAGTATTAGCAGATAGACTGCGCGCATTGATTGCATGTTAATACTAGACATCAGTATAACGCGCGAAGGAACCATGTCGTGTACGCGTTAAGTGTGTGCCTTAAATGTTTAGGCATATTTTTTGTATCGTGCGTTGTTGTCTACGTATCTTATTTAAAAGTTTTTCTTCGGGGGCTCACGGCGAAACCAAAACTGCCGGCTCGAGAGAGTCGGCAACACTGGTGCTTGGCCTCCATGGCGACGGGCGCGGCCATGTTCTGCCACGTTCGTGCCACGGATCATTTGCCGTGCTCAGTTGCACGAGGATTTGTAAGGAGGAGGGCGAGCTGCCTTCAACTTACTGCTTTATAGACCTTTTTTGTGTACCGTCGTTCCACAGCCACACAGTCGAGGAAACCGGTATGGGGGATAAAACAGCGAGGCATTACAACCCGGAACAAGTAAAGCAATATAGAAGGCAAAACAAGAATGATAGACAGTCCCAATTAAAACGTTATAGACTATCCCAGTGGTGTGGCGAGAGCAAAACGATTGTTTTCCACATACCGGATATTTCGCGATTCAAAATGGCGGCGCCTGCATAGAAAAGGTATATAGATCTATAATACCGGTAATAAACATTAGCGCGCATTCATGAAGATTACGACCGAAAAACGAGTTCGACCATGCTGAGTTAAAAACATGATTTCATTGTTAGCGCAGCGCAGGTATCGTGGCTGTCCCGGCTGCATCGCTCTATCGGTCTACGTATTTGAAACTAAAAATTGGAAAAAAAGTAAGACTTAATATTTAAAAGCGAATCAAGAAGTTAAAGCTGTTGCGTCCCACGATTGAGGGTCAGCGCGGCAACAGCGGCGACACACCTTCAGTCTCCAGGTTTCTTGGAGACAAGCAGAAGCATGCAGTCAGCAGCCCTAAGTGCCGTTCTTAGCTAGCCGGCCCATAAGGATATAAGAGCATATAGAAGGAAGGCTGACTTGCAACTCCGGTATACTCGTCTTCTACCTATTCTTGGAATATAGATAAAGTATAGGACAAAATATTCTAAACACTTACGCAACCCGCAAGGTGAAACACAGCGATATCTGAGCTCTGACGTAGGAGTCCCTCTACGTTATCATTTCAAACTAGATGGACTGAATGAACGGCAAACGTGCGAGCGCGCACTGTAGAGCCTGCATAGGCGTCTCGCATGAATGCGAGTTCCACACTGGACGGAAATTCCGTAGCGTTTTGGAACGAGGAAGGGTTTATTAAGTGAAGAGCATTTCAGTTGTCTGCGTAAAAGGGGAGCGTGTTTTCGTACGTCACTTCGGTACAAATAGTCGCACGTGCTAAACGAAATTCCCCGAATAAACAGGGACAAGGAAGTAGATGAGACGAAGGTCACTCTCAAACGAAGGTTTATTCAAAGAAACACACACTACTAGCTCCATATTTCTGGTTGTTTGTTTAGGATATCAAACTCCCTATCTGTCAGGTGCATTGGCGGGAACTAACGCACTTGCTTTCCCCTTGCTTTCTGATGTATAATACATGGTAAAAATCCGAGGCAGTTTTATCCGGCTACCTACTGATAATTGTTGTTCGTGTTAATTCTAGGTCATACGGGCACCAACTCCAGTGGACTGGCAGATTGCTCGGCGGGGACTGTTTTAGTGGTCATACATGTCATGTTGCTAGCATGCATGACCATGCACGTATCTTGCTTGCTCGTTATCTTTTATCAGGGGCTCGTGAAATGTTTTGACGAAGTGCCGGAAATGTCCGGCGTCGATGTCGAGCGCGGTCGACCAATGCGAAACCGCAGAGTCTCCCACTAACAGCAATCGCTGTTATATCTCGCATAATTTCTCAAATACACTCAACTTTAACAATCGCAAATCTAAGAGCGCCTGGAGTTCAGCTCGCATTTTCTACCTTGCCGCCCCTAGCACGTGGCTATGAATAGCGTTGGCAGCATGGAATAGGCAGCAGGCCACGTGGCAAATTGTTCTGGTTCCGTGTTGAGGGAATGAGCGATGCTAATATTTCTCGAATTTAATTTCCGACTACCATTGCTTGGAAAAAAAAACAGGCAAATTTATTCCGTTATTAAATTTAGGGAGTGATTCTGAGTAGTACTCAGCAAAAGTAGAAAAATCGTTTCATGACCCTTTTAAAGGTGAACGCCGTAGAGTTCCAGTAAGCTTGCGTGAAGTGAGAGACACTCCCACTCCATGCCGTTCCACGGCCGTACGGATGCCAGCGGTTCCGAGGAGAATTGCTAGATCACAACAGAACGAAAGGAAACTCAATAAGAAGCCCAAATCATCAGCGGAGACAGCAGCGAAAGGCACGGGAAAAGAAATAGCTGTAGGAACATGACGCTATGTTTCCCAGCGTTGCTTCACCGACAGCTAACCGGCAGGCAACCCGCCAGGAGGCTGGTGATTGAATTTTTGACAAAGGTATTGGTGGGAATTGCGGCGTCCCTTTGAAGAAATATTTCGGAATACTTTCTTCTAGTAAAGCGTATCCAGCATTTGTTTTGGTTCCACATTCGACCGCAGTTATCCATTAATTTAGCGCTTTAATAAAGCATCACCATGAACTTATCAGGGAAGTCGCGAGAGTGAGACGGTACAAAACCTCGCGGCGGCTAATTGTTTAGCTTTAAAATTCACCTGGAGCTCTGCGTTTTCCATTCCTCTTCTTAGGAGGTGCATGACGCCCGACGACATGCTAGCGGGAAACACCAAATACCCCGTATCGTCCTGGGTATGGCGTTCATCGTGCCGAACCTTGAAGCATATGACCAGCTTGAAAACCATATAAAGTAAGTAATAAAGTGTGTTGGGAGGTGGATTCTTTTTTTCAGCTCTACAGACCTTACAAGAGGTTAGGACAGCAAAATTTAGAAGGGTACTCTTGAAACGAAATGTTCATCGGTTACTTAGAACATATGCAAAGTTTGGCTTTTTGTATAGCTCTGGAAATGGCTATAATTAATTTAATGATCTTGATACTTTGCATCAGGAGACCAGGCAACACTGGTAGAATTATGACGTAGTTTGCCCATATTAAAAACGTTACGAAACATCGCAACACGCCTTTTTTTAGATATCTCTTAAAAAAGAAAAACGAATCAAAAAAGTCGTGCGGCAATGTTTGGTTTCGTTGTTATTAGGACAAAACCATTATTAATTTTTGATAAAAGCAGGATTTATCATTTTATGATATCTAACGCGCGTAGTTTAAATTTACGCCACAATAATAACAGAGTAATTATCACCTGTTGGGCTAGGACACTGAAGATAAATTGGTCATTCGACTGCAATGAAACAAAAGGCCCGGCTCAGGCCCATCCGCGATATTTGTACCTGGACCATGAGCCCTAGCTCCGCCATCGCCGGTATTTTCATTGCGGTTGTGAGGCGGCCTTCGATGGTTTCCCTGAGCTTGATAGCCGAGATCGATGCCGAACAGCCCGTGGCCCGAACAAATCCCAAGCGCCCGAGCTGCTTCCGCAGCTGGGATCAACTCGCTCGTTCGGAAAAAGTCTGCGCCATCTACAAAAAAAGGTTGCATATGAGTCGTTGGCGAATCCCTCTTCAAGCTAGAAATAAAATGTCACCTACATCACTAACCATGAGGACGCGTGGACTCGAACTTCCAATATCAGACTCGTATTAATCTCAACATCCCTATTAAAAAAAAAAAAAAAGAAAAAAAAAAAGACCGTGTCCTCACGGAATGTTACGAATTTTCTCTTTCATGCGTTAGATACACGTGCATGTACATCTTCGATTATTCTCAAGTTATTTGATGAAACGCACATGTTTCGTACTTCAAGATCATCGGTTCTCCTTTCAACAACCAAATCTCGTAAAAACTACCTGGCGCAGCGCAAGACTCAGACGCATAACTTCGCTCTTCCTTTTCTGCTGCCTCGACGCTGTGCTTTATTTTTCGTTTGGCACAAGTTCGCCTATTAAACCTTGATTTTTCAGTTTACTGTTCGTCTTCCCGTCACCTTCGTTCGTGACAAAATGACACCGATTATAAATGAAAAAAGGACAAAGGCTGAAGGGTTTGCTTTTGCTTGCAGTGTCTCTTTCCACCCTCCTGAGCGCCCCCTTTCGATTATTCGCTGGTCCTTCCTCCCATTAAATGTTCTTTCTAACTGAAAGAGAGTGGTCGTCTCTACTCGTCGTAGGAGTTTTTATTCTTCCAAATGAACGCAACTCTACTTCATTTCACCATTAGTACAGACGCAACCGCTGCTACGAGCTGGCACCGCCCATGAGACAGCGCCAAAAGCGCGCCATCTTGGTGGTCGTCATGTTTCTGCACGTGTTCTACGATCGCTGAACGAATTATGAAAAGAAAATGCCCAGTGGCTCACGCTTTTGACACTGCTTAATGGGTCCCAGTGGGGAGTTTTAGAATGGCGTGCGCAAAGGCTCTGCGTACGCAAATAATAGCGTCGTCGTCGCTGCGCATCTCCCGAAGGCTAACCACGTTTTTCGCTTTGCGTGCGCTATTTTAGTGTGCACAATTTTTCGGAGATTGCGTGCGTATGCCAAGGGTCCTTCTGCTTCTCCAAGAGCAATTCATGATGCGCGTTGAGTTGACTAAAGCCCAGACGAGCACAGTTACAAAATGGCGCCTACGAGAACCGCGGCGGACGCTTTGCCGGTCGTCGTGAGCGGGACGTTTAGCGGCGCACTCGCGACTGCGGTTTTCAATGCAGGCTGACCTTGCACTTCCACGAGAGTTGCACGTCACAAAGGGATTAGAAGAACCAGCAAGGTGGGCAACGATCGCCGGCAACTTGTTGCTTGTGACGCGCGAGCATTTCTCGGTGTCGTGGGCGAAGGTACGACGTGTACGTGTGCGAAGGTTCGTATACACGAGAGCTCTTTTGCCGAGGCGACGCAAGCGAACACGACCGGTCGACCACTCCCGCCGTAATCTCACATGTAAACAAATCTAAAATGTTACTGCGGAACGAACAACTTGTTTTTTACTCCAGTTATAGCATTTCCTGCGTGAAATAAAAATTGTTACTATGTCTTGGTGGCGTTGCAAGGGGGAGATGCCTGAGCTTTTGTGTCGCGGCGGAGAAACACTATTCTAAAACTCATTCGCGTATCGTGCGCAAATGGAAGCGCAAATTTTGGCGCTAGCCTGCACTAAAGTTGCGTAAGTTTTTTTTTTTTTTTTTTTTTTTTTTTTTTTTTTTTTTTTTAACTTCCTATTATCCCGCAGCGTCTGTGCTTAAACTGAAACGAAGTCTAATTATTGGTTATCGTTTGCCTAAGTGAGAAGTGCGACAGTATAAGCCGGGGGTTCAATTATATGCGGTTTCGTTGGAAAAATAAGGCATCCATCCTTTTTGTAAGTGAACCTGCATTATCCCCGGAGCACGATATTGCGATTTTGCTTCTCATTGATTGGCATCCCTAACTTTTTTGGACATCAACGCCTCGCGCATGCACGAAAATGAGAATTTCAACTGAACAACAACAAACATCGCAAGGTTCCCGGGAATAATTTAAGCGGCAGTCATAAAATAACCATAAGCACTAATTAAACATTTGAACGGGTAAAAGTTTTATTCCAAGGCTCTACATTTTTGTTCCTTGATTTGCGTTGGTTACATTTACAAAATCGTCGAATTCTGTTCTCCTTGACAAAAGATCGTAATGTTGCTGAGGACTGTAATTGCCTGAGTAATATAAAACGCAAATCAATCAGAATAATAATATTTTATTGAAAACGTTTTATTCCACGGAATCTCCCAGAAAGTTGGCCATGATGACTGATGAGAAGACCACTGATTGGTGGTTGCACGTGCGTCGCGGCGCAGTGTACATGCGAGGCTTGATCAAAGAGAAGTCTGCGTGTAATGCCCATGATTGAGTCGGGAAAAAACTTTGCGTGGTGACGTTTTTATGAAGAGGTTAACTCGCATGTTTGTTACTTCCGTGTCTGATTACTTGTCAGATCTTTTCCGATCGACATCTTCGTGGCCAGAACGCACATCTCAGCTCCGGATGACCGCTTCCCCGACTGCTCCATTACAGGTCCAACGGTCTGGGAGAAACCTCCCACTTACCAAGCGGGAATCGTAAGCGATTTTTTTTTTATCAGCTGAGAGCACAGCGTACTACTGTGGGGTATATCGCAAAGCTCCAGATAATATACCATCCCTAAGGCTTCGGGACACCTCCACTTATTTATTTAATGGAATTATTTCGATACCTTCAAGGCGTGAAGGCGTTAGAGAAGAGAATAGTAATCGAGAATAAAACGAATAAAAATGGAATATATGCGATACAACAACATAAAAGAAACGAAGTGGAATTAATAAGACAAAAATATGTTTCAGTGCCAGATTTAAAATTGAGTGGATCTGTTATGGTAACGATCGAGGCGGGAGATGGTTCCATTCGTTGTTTGTTTTATAATAAATAATGAAACACGCAGCTGTTACTGCGACCGTGAGTTACACCTCCTAATGACTATGGTCCGCACATGATGACAAGTATGACGGTTCTAAAAACACTTCGTTCAGAAATCTCATAACGCGTATAATTGTGCTTACTGTTCTTCTTTATCTCCATCAACGTGCGTTTAATGAATTCCTCGCGTTTTTGTGTTTTTATGCAGTACGAGACTCTCCTCTTCATCAAGAAGTTTGAGGCCCTATTTCGGAAGCCCAAGCTGTATATCTCCTTTACCATGGCTGGCCGCTTTTACAAGGCAAAGGAAGCCTACACAGCCTCTCCACTCGGAACCTCCTGCGCAAGTCTACCCTGGGAACCACCTGTGGATATCAAACAGGTGCGGCGCTGTAATCGCTTGAGTGTTTAGAAGATGACAGTTTTCCCATACCTTAGCCGACTAAAAGGGCATTCAATCATAACGTCCAGTTTGCCACCTTTGTGAGCAGGAAAGCAGTCAGCGGATCCCAAATAGCGCATATGCTGACCGCTAAGGTATTTTATAGGAAACGAAAACCATATATACTCGACTCAAGAACTTCGCCCGTAATAAAGAAAAACATTTTGTGTTAGATTGTGAGGCTGGGTTTTAAGCTGATCGAACAGTCAGCGGCGAAAAAACTCTGCTTCAGCACAGATCCACTCGCCCCCGTATACGTCTTTCTGCGTGCCTCGCGTAAGTTTTTTTTTTTTTTTTTTTTTTTTTTTTTGAGAAATGATTGCAGGTACAGTTTTGGTGACAGAGAAACACAGATGACAAGTACCGTTGCAGTCATACGTCTATATCGACGGTCCCCCGAAGTATAGTTGGTTCGAACTCCAGCAGGCGACAACTACGTCACAAGAGCGATTCGAGTCCTCCGCGACTTGCAGCCAGTTGTTTACGTTAAGCATCACAGACACGAAAATTGAGCCAAAGTTTCTTCCAAGTAGCTACATTTCGGGAAATTACGTCCAGATCCGCGACCGTGAGTTATTGGGACATCCGTCACGCTGTAGTCGATACACGGGTGGCAAGATGATGATCGCAACAATAATAATTTATTTCGGACATAGTTGTGTCTATGAGGCTGCGGCGAAGGAAGACACAACGTTTTCTGACATGGTCGTCAGCACCCCTTACAGCAGTCAAGCAAGCGAATAATGCATAGTATAAATACGAAACTTACGCGACACTTAGAAGCAAAAAACATCGACACTGCGACAAAAGAAGGGTGTGTAGAAAGAGAAAAGGCTAAATGTATTCTGACATGGTTATCAGTTCTTCAACGGTTTGCAGGGACAAAACATAAGCACCAACATAACCAATTAACAACCTTAATAATAATAAAAAATTACACCATCGAGAAGCTTTGACTTATAAACACAACATTCTAGGCAGACATATAACACACTTTTTTTTTCACACATAACACCTATTGGACGCTAAATGTTACAGTGTAAAAATACGGTTTTACTAATTCTTAATCACAGAGACCGTGCTACAGTTTTGTTATCTTTGAATTATATGCAAGTGCATTTTTTTCGTAGGCCAGTAATTTGGTAATTAAATGTATGAGCTCTATAGTTTGTTCTGACGTTTGATTTAGGATAATACGTGCGACCGAGGGTCTGTTTAATGGTATAGCAACATGATGGTGGAGAGCCTTGAAAACGAATATCTTATAGATGCATGCGTACAACCACATAGAGTTAAAAATAACTCCTTTGAATAATTACGGCGATATGGCTGTATGTGTTATCTACAACAAGTTCCAAAGGCTATTATCACCGTTAAATTTATCATACCAAATGTGTATAAGTGTGACTGAAAAAAAAAGTTAGTCAAAGTTTATGAGATGGCCCTAGTGTCCACTATTGCTAAACATTTTATAACAAGAAACGGCTGTGACCAGGAGAAATGCTAGTCTAGTATTGAGCAAGATATAAATAAATAAAATATATCCTGACAATTATGTTCAATATATAATCACAGACGTTCGGTCATTTTTCAAGAAAATCTTAAAGAAGTCCTCTTCGGACTGTGCATAAACCTAAAATGTTACAAACAAAAAAGCTAAATGCACAAAACTTCGTAATTTTTATTGCCTTGTAAAGAACAATTTTATATCATGTTTGATTTAATTTCACCACGAAACACGAGGATAACCGACAAGATTAATATACCTTCCCCTCCTGTTAAAAGTATTCAACTAAAATCGAGAAGTTTGTTTCAAATTGTCGATCTTCTTAAAATCAATACCAAATTCATTTGATTTTACTCCACACATGTGTACCGGCGACGGAGGCGTGAAAAAAAAAAAAAAAAAAAAGTCAACATACGTTGGCTTTTGCAAGGTGGTAAGCTGGTCTTGTTGGTGACTCTTCAACACGATAAGAAGCAGCACTCAAATGAATAGGACAAAAGGAAGAAACAAAGGAGAAACAGTGCCTTTTCGTCTTCTTTCCTGTCCCTTATATCGCTGTTATTCCTCAACAACTTCCAACATCTCTCGATGAAAATCACTCTCATCGCTGCTGCGATCCTTGTTGAAGATTCCGACGAAACGAGCGGTGCCGTAGAAGTAATCGTAACGGACCGCATGCTCGAAACGCGGAAGGTAAACAGGATGTTGAAGCTCGAAACGCCAAGAGAGAAAAGTTCGGGAGTGCGTGCAAGGGGAGGCCGCGAGTTGGGATGGAGACTTCGCCAACCCGAAAACCACGGCGGCTTTTTCGAATGAAGCGGATCCGGGGGTTCCGCATGTAAATAGATTTTTCCGCAAAACTATCGCGCCATTTTCAAAACAAATTGAGCGGAAATATGTGAGCATACAATTATTTTATTTTTAGCGTGTCCTAACCCCTTTAACGTGTTTTTAATGCACTTAGTATGAGGTTTTTAGTGATTTCCGACGAAAGTTTTTATCGTTTAACCTAGGTACATAGTATGAATTGCAGCTTACTACTTCGTTAATATAAACACTTTTTTTTCGGTCTTAACTTTTTTTGTTGCTACATGTTTAATTTCGTAGTTGATATATTTGACTGCGTCTTGTCGCGCTTGGTCCCAACATTTTTTTTTTTGAAACACCGTTTAAGCAACTTAAACGGTGTTTCAAAAAATGTTGGGACCAAGCGCAACAAGACGAAGTCGAATATATCAATTTTCATAGATGTGATCCAATGAAACTGAAGAACCATCAACAGCGTAGGTATTTCCACTGCTAAACCTTCGGTATTTTTACATATTAGTTCTCTGGAATATATTTTATTGGCGCAAAAATCTCCACGTGTTCTCAAAGACAAGTATCACTGTTACGCAAGGTTGTTTTTTTTTTTTTTAAGAAAACAAAAAGCTTTTTTGGGGAATGACGACGGACAAGTATAGAAAACGTGTCTTTAGAAAGTTGCTCCCAGCGTCTGTAACGCTTTAAAACCACGATTTCGCTGCACGCAAGATGGCCGTCCGTTGGCCGAACTCGCGCTGCAGCGACCAGCAAATTGTCATGGAGATCAGTGGTTGGCACCAAGTAACCAGAACACAGATTGGATTGATTAAGCAAACATGGAATGAAGGTTACGTTTGTTTCTTTTAGCATCATCGTGGTAATGAAAGAATTGCGTGGAGCCTTGTCTAGTCACCGACAGTGTAAGAAACTCAGGGTGTGGCTTATTATAATCAAGCTTCTTGCGTCGTGATTGGTTCTTTGGCGTTGTTATCGGCTAATGCTGCAACCTGATTGGTTGTGGAGAAAATATGAGAGGCACGAAGCTCGTCACGCCCTGTGTTCCTCATGCGGTCAGGGAATATATTATGGAAGGTAATGCAGCAGAGTCTTTGTGCCTTTATGAGCGGACGTTGACACCGAGGCAATGTCTCCAGTGGTTCCGCCGGTTCATGTTTTATGCAGATGTGCAAAGAGGCCAAGTTTGAAGCATCAGGATCCACGGACAGTAGGACGCAAGTGATGTATGTGAAGGAGCAAAACAAGGGTCTCATCTACACGTACGACAGCCAGTACACCATCACCACCAAGGTTTGTCTCCTTCAGCAGAGTCTGCTCGTTTGTGCGTTTCATGGCGGCTACCGTGCATATCATATACTATGCATCGTTTCATCTTATGTCCGAGCGCAGTCCAAGACACCAACACATACAATCGCGAACATACATACTAAAAGCGCAAATCACTGGGCCTCCCCTGTGCAGGATAGGTTGTAGAACACATACAAAAGCGTGACGAACACCTTGACGTCGCGTTCTGGCGCCGTTGGATTGGTCCCATCGGAGTGTAGCGTTGACTGTGCACGGACTTAAGGTGACAGGAACTATAGCTTTTGATACAATGAAAAGGGGAAAAAATGTAAATACTACACTGTGTCTGGTCACATATTTTGAGAACCACACGTACACAAAAGTGATAGTAAAGTCATAACTTATCTTTTGGCTAATATATTTGTTCTGATTTTTTTTTTTTTTGTAGTGACATTGAGAACGCTTTGATGCATGCATTTGAAAGCACGGTGCAACGATATTGAATTAGAATGTTTTTTACTGAGCTTAGTGGGCACTAGTGGGACTCAAGAATACTCGCAAACAACACCACTGGCCAAGAAACGCCTTTGTTTTGGTGCAATTTCAAGGACAAAAGCGAGCGTTTTCCATTCCATCTCTCCTTCGCAAAACTTGATGACGTAACTGGAAGAACGCAGAATCCTCCAGCGACGATATTTGAATGCGGCTCATAGATTGGACTCCAGAATTCCTTGACCACTCGATTTGGGCTCGTGATAATCGATAGCTCGAGAAGCATTCGTGTGGTGGCCTATGTCCAATCGCTGCAAGGACGACAATAGCTGGAACCATAATTTGTGCTGCTTTCAGTTTTTTAACTTTTCTTGTTTGCTTGTAAGTGTTTAAAGCGGTCGCGCGATCCACTGTCTATGTTAATTTCTCTTTGTATAGTGATTACTTTATCTTTTCTTTTTTTTTTGTATACAAACTTCTGTAAAGCCCAATGGGCTGACAGTATCCATAAATGAAAAAAAAAAATGAAATGAACGCCTGGAACGCAGCGCGTGTCCTGTGCCTTGCCAACCCCAGCGCGTAGCTATGATCAACATTGGCGACATATAATGGACCCCAGATCACGTGGCCGCTTGTTCTGGCTGCGAGTTGAGGGGGTGAACGCTACTAGTTTTTCTTTAATATTTTTTTTTGCGACTTCAATTGCGCGTGATAATAAACGAATGGGTGTTTCACGGGTCATTAACGTCAGGGATCCGTTCTACGCGGTATTTGCGCAAACTACAAAAATCACTGCATCGCCCCTTTAAGTCTCAGCATTTATTTTTAAAGATTCTGCTATGGCAGAATGTGAAAAGGCAGTCCTCTTTGTTTTACCCACTTTTTGGGAAAACGGGAAAATCTTGTATCAAAACGTGAGCTGCCGCTCTCCTCGACATTTTTCTTTTTTTTTTTTTACTCGCTTCCAGTTGTTGTTTAGCGAGGCTTTCTATTTACAGCAAAAACGCGGCCCAAGATGAACAGATATCTCACGAGATCTTTAGCAAAAAATAGACTATGTTCAATGTCCCAACAGGCAACAGTGGCGGTCGCCATTTCTTGGGGACGGGGCGTATGACTGAATTTAAGTCGCTCGTGCCCGATACGTGATCATAGCACGTGTCCAAACAATGGCCAACTTTGTAACTGGAGCACCAGCTACTAGATGGCGCGCACCTTTGAAAAGGGTCGGTTACTCAAGCACTAAAAACTACGCTGGAATCGTGTACCACCACACGATGCACGCGCTCGACGTATTCGTATAAAGAATTCGAGAAGAAAACTCAAATAAGGCGTTGGCGAGTGCACGTGCAAAGTGCCGTTTAGCTTACGCTTTTTTGTTAAAAAAGTTATCGTTGCCGACCCTAACCACAGCCCCCTTTATCCTAGAAAGCCTGCCATATCGCGAAAGAACATGGCCGCTGTTAAGGAAAAAGGAAATCAGAGAAGAGGTCGCGCGCAGGGGCTCTCTCGGGCAGCGCCAAACAATGCCTCAGCGGTAAAACCTAGAAACACAAACGTGCTTCTCTTTTTTTTTTTTTTTTTTTTTTTCAGGAACGGAGAACATTTTTCGTTGACCCTCCTTTATTCTGCTATCCTCCCTCCGCGCCGGTAGCCTCCATTCTTTTTCCTTAACCGCAATTTCTTGTTTGGCGGAGAAGCCACCGCGTGTATTGTTCACGGTGGTCGAAGGGTTACCCCAGAAGTGGCTCTGCGCCACCCTATGCGTCAACGGAAGGCGCTGCTCCTCACCTTTTTCGGGTGGCCGTGCGCTCATTGGCTCCGTAGTGGAATCGACGGGCTTTCTAGAATAGAGGAGTCTATGCCCTAGCACGTACTGCGCGTGTATCATACACTCGAAGCATGACTTCAAAAAAGGGCCCGGTTTCTTCCTCAGTGTTCGTGCGTAAGGCGCGTGATTCGCTCGCTTCCCGAAGCGACGAACATGCTCGTGCGGGGCTGAGGACATCGCACTCTGGGCAGAGTAGTAAATAGTGGAATGGTGTATACTCCGTTTCGCATAGAGGGCTTAGATTTAAGGAAGGGGGCAACTCAAACAAACACACGCCGCAAGCGCTCACCTTATTTGTATAAAATATTAAATCAAGAAACCCAAACAAGGCGTTGACGAGTGCGCGTGAAAAGTGTCGTTTACTTGACCATGGAGAGCCTTTTCTATTTAATGGCGGACGCCTCCTGGGCGGATTGGCCAGAAGTGGGCGTGCGTTGCGTTGTCGCGCGGAGAGAAGGAACACGGGCGGAAAGGCAGACAGAGGCGCTTGCAGACGACCAACGCTTTCATCAACAAGTCTCAAATAATCTCGTGTCGCAAACGCAGCCCATAAACCACCTGACCCCAATCGTCCGGTTGCAAACACTCTGTAACTTAGGTACACTAGTTTCACCTTACGACATAACCGCCACGGACGCTACTAGCTCCCAGAGTCGATCCACGTGTCAGAATGCGTCACGTGACCTTCCGGTTGCGTCGAGCTAGGTGCAGAGCGTGAAGTTACGTGGCACGCGTGAAGCGCTACATTGGCTATCCTAGGGTTGGTAACTACGCAGGGCGCAAGTTGGACTGTTTCCTGCACGGGGGTTGCTATGATGTCAAACCGCCGAGCTCTTATTGGCTGATTGAAAACAAACTAGGGGGTAGACCTTAAGACAGCTAGCATCGAGGTCTACCCACTATCCTCTCAGCCAATCGAAGTTCAGCGTCGCTCTGACGTCACAGCAACCCCTGTGCAGGAAGCAGACGACTCGATCTCCGAGTAGGTTCCGCTCCGTTGTCGGTAAATCCCAATAAATCCCAAGAAATAATCCCTGAGCCGTTTTCTTTTAAACTCGGAGAAAACAGGAAAACAAGCTGTCCTTGAATGAGGAGAACCCATGCTTTACGGGTGGAAGTATTTATCATTCGTTGACCCGAACACTAAGTTTGTTCTCGTTAGTCGAAAGAAGTAATCAATTACAACTACTCCTGCTTAAAAAAGTATGTAAATAGATTACTCGATTACCTGCGAAGAAAAATAAGTGCCGTTGCACAGTTGCCACTGAACTGTTGAAGAGGTTGTTCTTCGAATTATTAAAAAAATTCTTAAAGGAAAATGCTCAGTGACTTGCGCCTTTGACGCTGCTCGACTGCTCCCATTAACTCGTAGCGTAGGGTGCTCCTATATAACCATTTATCGGAAAAATATTTGAATGACGAAGGGGCTAGATATGAGTTACATTTCATTTAACCATTGAATTGGTTAGCGTTGTTGATCACGTAGTTAATACTCAGCTGCCAGGGTGTGTGATTAGGATTATAAGTTTCAGCACATTTCGATTCACGTGTTATATGCAATGTTTTTAATTTGTTGTCGGTGAGTTTTTAAATAGCATCGGGGATCCTCGTCTAAGCACAATGCGAGCATCTTGTAAAACGCTGCGATGCTTGTCGCAAAAATACTTTTAGTACAGAAATGTAAAGGGTGCGCAAATACAAAAAAACTGCAAGTGCACAAGAACGAGAGGAACACCGAAGCGGGCTTCGCGTATGCATGCTTAAACTTGAAGAACAGCGTATGTATGCTTTTGCGTGTGCAACATGCACTGGAGCGAGCGCAGCATTTTCTTGTGTACGTAAAGCGCTTGCCGCTTGCTTCTGTTCGCTATTCTAGATCTCACTCATACTAAGTACCATTGAACAAAGCTCAGACTACCGAAAAATATAATCCAAATCACGTTGTAGTATGCTGTGAGTCAGAGTCGCTCGATATAGCAAGAGCGCAGTAATCAATGAAAGGTTTGACTAAACAAGTATATGCAAGTAACTAGTATACTAAAAATCAGAAAAACTAGCGGAACTAAAACAAACACTCGGAAGTGCTCCAGAGGAGACAGATGCGAGGGTGGAGTTAGCGCCGTTACACTTTACAAACTGCGAGCGATTCGTAAAGCAGTATACCAGCCAGTTGACCAAGTCAGGCTGAATGTTAACATGCCTTAGCTTTATCGATAGAAGTATGTGTTTTATCTTATCCAAGACATTTAAAGTCTACATAAATGCGGTCCACATGGACTGTATTAAAATAAATAATAGCTAAGAGGTTTTTCTTTTTTTGCAAGGAAAACACTTGAAGTTACGTTAAACTGGAAAAAAAGAAGGAATATTATTTCAGAAAGTTAGTGAGTTGCGTATGGTACAGCATACGTTTTCAGAAACTTAACGGGGACGCTGGTCAGTGAAAGGCTCCGGCACACGCACTGCACCGCCATCCACTCAAAACTCCGATCAGCTAGTGGTGCTCGGGTAAGTTCAGCCAATGGGAAGGACGAGCGTTCGCATCTTCTATGATCTAAGCAATTCCAAAAGGGGTGAACACCCGTTTATTACTCGAACTCCATGAGCACGTGGTGGCGATATGACGTTCGCCCCTGCCTAGGGCTAAGCTGATTAAAAAAACATCATTGTCTGAAGTTGAGAGTTCATTGAGGTAACATGTATAGTGAGGGGCTTCTGAGGATACACCTCAATACCTAAAAAAGAATCTGTCCAAGGTCAATACCAAAAAATAAATTCACAATTTTCACACGCACTAACACATAAACATTGGAAAAAACTAAAAAAATAAAAAAAAAAAACATTTTAAACAAAGACAGTGCTTCCGCCAAGCGAGCGATAAACGTGCCTACAAGTCATTGTGAGTTACGCAGCAGTGACATGAAGTTACAGTGAAGCGCCGTGGAAGTCCATGGTGTCGTGAAAGAAACCATTGCGTTGCAGATCTGCAAGAGCCGTAAACCAATGCCCGCCGTAGACGGCTTTGCCCTGTTCGACTTGGAGCTCGACCGAGACGAAGTCAAGTGTCCGAGGAACAAAACCGGCGACTTCAGCACCTTGCAAGACATCCGGAAATTAGCCGATGAGTTCCAGGCAACCCCAGCTCATCGACTCCCAAAAACTTGTGAAGGGCTGTCTTTGGCTCTTTACTAACTTCCAGGATAAAGTCCCATGTGTTCGGTCTTGGTTGAATTGCTCGCGTCTCTGCGTTTCGTAGCAATTACGCATTGGCACAATTGACACGAACTATTTAGGGCGAGATACTGCGTGGCCATGTACTGGTGGCACGCAATTATAAGTAGAGTTCCCCCAGAGTTAAACCCCGAGCCGATTGCATATCGTCATTCGAGAACCCGAACTGCACGGGAAGAAATCTTATTTGCAGGCTTATCTGAATTGTATTGGGTGGTCCAAATAAAACACGATTGCCCACGTCGTTTAGAGGAACGCGGAAACCTTTTATAACTGTCGGGGTAACGGGCCCTTAAAGGGGGGAGGGGGGGGGGTGCAACGATTTTAAGATTAAAAGAATTTAAATCTTGTCATTTTTATGCTGCTTATCGTGTCCCGGAAGATAGAGAAAACATCTCATTCATTAAAAATGTCGCGATTCCGCTGCGTAATCGCAAAGCAAAAGTCGAGCTTTTCCCCCACCTGCAGCCGCGAGTGGCAGCCGAAGGAACTACGGAGAGAACCTTACGTGACCTCGCTCGGTTCTAAGCTGCAGCTTAACGCCCGCTGGTGTCAGCAGAGGGAGGGAGAGGAAGCGTCGTCCGAGAGAGCACACGCGAAGCTACACGGCACCCCGAATTACGTCCTTAGGAGGGGGACCAGGTGTGACCCTGAAGACTGGGAGTGAGTGAAGTAGGGTGCCTTCATGTGCGCTTCGCATAGAGTGATGCCAACTGCCTGTTTCCCTTTCCCCATCGCCATTTTGTTCCTCATTGTTTCCCCGTGCGTTTCCCGTGCGCCGGAAAGTGGCCTTTGTGTCCATCGGTCCCCCCATCCGAGGGGGAAATGCTAATCCTCCCTCCGTGGGTTCCACAAAGCTGCACCGAACTTGTGAGATAAGGTGCTTGTTTCCGGGAGGCTTATAAGCCCCACGGATTATCGCCGAGACCGAAATGGCTGCTGGGTTGTCGGCGAGTGGTATTACAAAGGGTGGCACCACCCTAGCAAAGCGCACATGAAGGCTCCCTAGAGTGGAGGGGTGCCCGAAATGCCAATATTTGTCTTCTTTTCTTTGTACACAACTAGGACACGCAGGCGAAATTGGTGTTTTGTTCTTTAAGGCCCGTTCACACTCTTGCAACCGGGTAAGACCGAGAGAGACCAGACCGGTTTTTAAGCCTCTTGCGACCTCTTAGGACCGGATGCTCTGCAGCGGAGCTGGTCCTAAGAAGTCGCAAGAGGCTTAAAAACCGGTTTGGTCTCTCTCGGTCTTAGTCGGTCGCAAGAGAGTGAACGGCGCTTTACTTTAGAAGTGTCAGAAGGCAACTTCCAAATGTTTGACTGAAGTCCGGAAATCGTTGCACCCCCCCCCCCTTTAAACCAGTAATGTAGGAATTAGAAAAAAAAAGTAACGAAATACATTACTCGTTTTTTTGCAAAATAAAGGAACGCGTTAGTGACCTATGTTACCTCAAAATAAAAGGAACATGTTGCCTTTACCGTTATCGATAATAAGTAACGCAAATTACTTTTGCGTTACTTTGTACTTATAAATTGACGGCATTTTTCGCCACTGGGGCAAAGGGCTTGGCAGTTGAGGTTTTCTAAAGTGGAACTTTTTGGGTGGGGAAAAGACAGGCAAAATTTTTAAGGTAAGTGGAATGAGTGCAATAATTGATGACTTCCTTTCAGCTTGTCCAGACGCAGCCGACGCTACGAGCTAATGGGGCCAGTCAAGCAGAGTCAAAAGCGAAGGTCCCTAGGCTTTTTTTTTTATTTATAATTTATTTAGCGATGATAGAACACGTACACAAGCATGGCCAAAGCCATCATGGTGCCTTTATGATGCTGTCTGAGTGGTGCCATCAGCAGGCTAATTTGCACACGCGCTAGATTACAGGCGGCATAGCCGACCTTTTCTCGTCTTACCAAGATACCGAGCCACTGAAGCGGGCTTTGGCGAGCCTCTACAAAGGCCAATGCTGGGGACAAGGACGCAGTCGAATCTAAATTTACAGTAACCGGTCCAGCTGTGGTAGCTACGGAGGGAAGTGTGTAAAATAAGAGGAAACAAAAACTGGAGGTTGGTTCTCGCGGCGCCCATGCACAGGTGCTACGAGGCGTCTATAGCGTGGGGAGCGCCAGCGCTGAAGGTCAAACAAGGTATACAAACACGAAAAAGGCTAACTGTACTTTTTTCAGGTTTTTGACGAAATAGTTACAGATAAAAGACAGAACACAGACATGCTGTATGTTTTCTGTCTTTTATCTGTAACTTAACTCGAGTGACGTAACTACCTTACCCGTTACTTCAAATAAGTAACGTAAGTATGTTACCCGTTACTGTTTTGAAAAATGAACGAGTACATTATCTACGTTACACAAAAAAATAACGCGTTACAGGTAATGCCGTTAGTTGCAACGCGTTGCCGCCAAAACTGCCTAAACAGACCGGTGCATCGACGGCTGATGAAGTGGCGTCACGGCGGTTCTCCAGGCGGCCAATCACAATGTGTGAATGTCACGAGCAACGACCAATGGAAATTGAGGGAGTGTGGGGGCGGCGGGGTCGAAGGGGGTGGTTCGTACAGTCTAAAAAATGTCTGTGCGTCTACATTCACGCACAACCCTCGGAAAGCCAATCACCACAACTTACGGAGGCAGTTCAGCGAATGACGATGCCGAAACATATGTTTAGACCAAAAAACGCAGAATGAGTTGTGACATTAAGCAATGCAAAACGTCACGCTTGCATTGCTTAATGTCACAACTCAGACTGCGTTTTTTGGTCTAAACATATGTTTCGGCATCGTCGTTCGCTGAACTGCCTCCGTAAGTTGTGGTGATTGGATCTCCGAGTGTTGTGCGGGAAAGTAGACGCACAGACTTTTTTTAGAGTGTAGCGCTGGCCGAGGCCGGAAGGGGAAACACGCGCAGTGATGGGCGCCACGAGCGGGAGAGTAGGAAAAAAAATAACTTTTGTGTTATGATGATAATACAATTAAATTCAAAAGTGCAAGCGAGCTGGATAAGAATAACGACAAAAAATTCCCGGAGAAGGGGAACAATTGGGGCACAGGGCAAACACAAATCTCCAAGCAGCTAAGTGACTGGTGCGCGAACGAAAAAATGCGCCTGGTCCGGGTATCGAACCAGGGACCTCTCCATTTTCAATGGAGCGCTCCGTTCCTCTAACCGAGCTCAGTGCTAAATGCCTGCGCAACTAAAACCACGAAGTGGTCGCTCTCGAATTCCGGCTGGCGGAGCACTCTGTGACATTTGCCTGAGAATATTGGAGTCTAGAGCAACACAGTGGCCAGAACGTGGACACTGAACCGGATCAGCTGCCGAACCGATGCCACGTGCAAGGAAGCTGTCGTCCATGGGCGTACCAACCGGGGGGGCAAGGGGGGCACGTGCCCCCCCAGTTCTCAGAGTGGGGGGGGCAAGGCATGCGTTTTGCCCCCCCTGAAACGGCCGCCACTGGGCAGAGCAGACACAGGCCGGCGGCGCCCAAGGAATACCAAGGGCACTGCCCCCCGACCCGCGCGGGCATATTTTTAACGCGCAGGCGATACAAACCCTAGCAACGGTGCTCACGCACGCCGGATTGGCTGGTTCGTAAAGCCTTGCTCCACGAACAAGGCTACACGATAACCTTACGGAATCCATCTGCGAGACATGGGCCGGACGCGCCGTCCAGACCAGGACGTAGGCCCTTACACAAAATAAAGCTTTGCTTGCTTGCTTGGAGATAGGCGCTGCCGCTGTCAACATAGGCAGCGGATGCAATGCGAGTTTCCGAAGAGGTAGCGTAACTTAGTGGTGAGGTGTCTGCCTCATACGTGTCAGACCCGGGTTCTATTTATGGTGTGGGCCGGCTTACTTCTTTTTATTTTTTTTCTCGGACATTTTGTTTTGTCGAGGCATTTGGCGATATTTACATTTCTTTTTTACCATTAACACTAAAAAAACGAATGTTGTTGACGAAACATCGCTAAACTAAATCGTATCGACTCTATTTACGGAAGTGCATGGGGGGCAGCGGGGTTTGGGTTGCCGACCGGACGCCGCAAAGCGGCGTGTACGGGGGGTGGGGGGGCTAGGTTGGTTAATAGATTTGTAATTAGCAGCCGCACACCGTCACCGCGAAGCGGCGTGAACGCAGGCGCGGGGGTGGGTTAACGCGCTTCGAGTGATACACGAGCAGCCCATCCGGCGTGAGCGTCGTTGTTAGGGGTTCTATCGCCTGCACCGTAAAAGGAGCAGTGTGTGCACCTCCTGTAGTGGGCAAGAATTCCTACATTGGAGAGAAGCGGGGACAAGCCCTTTCTTCAAATGCGTCAAGTCTCCTTGAGCTTCGGAATACAAAGAAACGCCACTATTCGGAGCTAATCCCACAGTTACTCGACCTCTCTTGCGTCGTGTCTGTTCGCTCCCCGCGCCTCGTAGCAGTGTTGTTGCAGTGGGGGGGGGGGGCTCGTTAAAATTTTGGGGTTTTTTGGACTATCTAAATCACTTTCTTCCTTCCCATCCCCCCCTTTTCTACTCCGCATGCTTCCCCCTCTGCAAATATCAGCTGACCTTCCGACCTCTGTTCTCTGTTGATAGGCAAAACAACCACTAAAATTAGAAAGTAATTTGTAATTTGAGTGGAAGTCACTCGGAAAAGTGGTTAAAGTAAACTACTGATTACTAGAATAGAAATGTAATTAAAAGTTACTAAACTACCCAGAAAAGTAGTTAAACTACAGTAACTTGAGTAAAGTAGTTGAACTACGTAAAAGTCTGGCCTGGCAAGCGCTCTGCGTAAGTGTTTTCACTGATCTGCCTAGCCCCGCACACCATCACATGGGCCAAGAAAGGTGTAGTTTTACTGCAGAGGAGAAATCAGCAGGGTCCAAGATGGTGACAATGGAGGATGGGGGACTGTTCCAGTGGCTGATGGCTTGAGAAAGGAATGACCAATTGAAAGCGTTCGT